TCGCGTGTGACATAAACGTAGATGGTGCAGTGACTCAGGTTCATGCCAGCTGAACAAATCTATTGCATTGTTATAGCGTTTAATTAATAGCGCATATATTCATCTGAGAACTGATGATGTCTGTGTGTTACAGACCCTGGCTGTGTGCACTGAAGTGTATATGACAATAAAGTAGTGAATCTCAATCTATTTATTTATTTTTAAAATGTATTTTAAATAGGCCTATAGGCTCATAGGTTTTTTGTCCATCCATGTCCGTCCAAGTGTATTCAATGTGTATGTGCTACCCGGGTAGAATGTGTGTGTTTGTTTGTACGCTTGCTCAGATCTTATCTTCAGGAAGATGATGAAGATGGAGAATTCCAGATACTCTCTAACCCTGCCTCGCATCCCACAGGAAACCCAGAATGTAGATCCAGCAACTCAAAAAACCAATTATCTCTCATCAATTACTGTACAGTATCATATCTCTCTTTAACTCAAGTGTAACTTATAACAAAAGCAATGATGAACTATATCCTGAGACCTTAAAAGCTTAGACATCATTGTGTTTCCTTTTTACCCGTATTAATAAATCATGTTACACAACTTATCTCTTATCTCTAATCAATCATGTCTCTCATTCATATTCACCCTTATGTATTTTTAATCATCTCAACATGAACTGAAACACATTATTTATATCAGGAAAAACCCATATGTATACAAATCTCTTACCAATTCACCTCCCATGTTAAACTGTTTAAAGGTAATCAATGTAAACATTCTGTTACAAATATAATACTGATAATAATAATAGATCATCAATAAGTGAAAATAATGAGCTGTAGCCATCGGCCAATAAGAAGAAGCTCCAGTGAACTGAAAGACTATCAGCTGATTAATAATAAGTGCTCCATGTGAAGATGTAAGTCCATTTGTAGAGAATAAGCTCTGTGTATGAGAGCGATGTAATGTCCATGTTTCCATGCTGCTCTGACCCCCCTCCTCCTTTCAGGGTGGAGCCTGCTGGAGTCCGATGGTTGAGACCAGGTCTGAGGAAGTGTAAGTGTGAAAACAAAGCAGCACACATTCAACCATCTTCACACTGTGACATCACTCATTCACAGCTCTGATGTCATCATCAAAGTGTCAATCAATGATCAGATGATAGATCAATAACTGCAGCTGTATTGTGTCTTGTTCTCTCCATCAGATTCCTGTGAACTCACAGTCGACACAAACACAGTGAGCAGAAACATCAAACTGTCTGACAACAACAGGAAGATGATTCATGTGAAGGAGGATCAGTCATATCCTGATCATCCAGACAGATTTGACTACTGGGAACAGCTGCTGTGTAGAAATGGTCTGACTGGTCGCTGTTACTGGGAGGTCGAGTGGAGAGGATGGGTTTATATATCAGTGAGTTACAGAGGAATCAGCAGGAGAGGAAACAGTGAAGACTGTGTGTTTGGATTGAATGATCAGTCCTGGAGTCTGAAGTGCTCTTATGGTCGTTACTCTGTCTGTCACAATAAGAGAGAAACGTCCATCTCCTCCTCCTCCTCCTCCCTCCTCCTCCTCCTCCTCCTCCTCTGGTAGAGTAGCAGTGTATGTGGACTGTCCTGCTGGCACTCTGTCCTTCTACACAGTCTCCTCCTGACACACTGATCCACCTCCACACCTTCAACACCACATTCACTGAACCTCTTTATCCTGGGTTCTGGTTCTGGTTCAGGTCTGGTTCCTCAGTGTCTCTGTGTCCTCTGTAGGAGGGAGAGAGAAACTTTCTCACTGCTGACCAGATAGTTCAGTCTGTACAGGATCACACACAGCTGATGTTAGTTAGTACCAACCTGATGTGTTTACTGTAATAGAGGAGGAAGAGGAGGCTGAAGGAAGAGAAGAGCAAAGGATGCTGGGATGAAGGGATCATGTGTGAGGGTAATGTGCAGCCTGCAGACGTAGAGATGAAAGAAATGATAGAAAGAATTGATCTTCTTCTATAACTCTGAGAAAAATGAACATTTTTAGGATCAAATGTGGCTGCTTGTTTTTCAAATCTTCTTCTTTTTGAAAGCACAGTTAGAGGGAAAGTGTTTTTATGACTCAAATATTAAAGTGTGAACAAATATTCAACTTTGAGTCTAAAACTGAACTTTGTTGCCTTAAAACTTTTGTTTCTGTGAAGAAAAAATGTGTTCAAATGTCAAACAAGAGTCTTTCAGGATCAAATTCAGCATCTGTGTAAAAATAGTTCCAAGGTGTAAAGAGTGGCTTTGATTTGAACAAACTAAATTCATCATCTTTGGTCATCGTGGAACAAATGTACAAACTTTGATAAGTCAGGTTGAAATCAAAAGAAATCAAAGTTTTGGGATGATTCTAGATAATAAATGATGCTGGCAACCACATCTAAATGATGTCAAAGCAAAACTGTCCAAATGGATCCAACACTGTATAAAATGAAGGATTAGTTAAATCCAGCTTCATTCTCCACTTTGTATTGTTCACTTCAACTTCCATACATCACTGACTGTGTGCTCGTTTGGGGAAACTCATATAAAACAAACACTAATCAGATTTTTACATTTGAACAGAGAGACATTAGAAGAGTAAACCAAACTACTGATCAAGAACCAATAACAACAATTAACTGATAACTAGTAAAGGTTTGTTTCACCAACTTCCGCCCCTCTCTATGATTGACAGGAGGTTTTGGGGTGCTTTTGGCGAGCAGGGAGAGGTGTACGTGACACAGAGAGAGAGAGGACCTCCGAGCCTCAATGTGGAACTTGAAGTAGACGCTCCGTGTAATAACGTTGAGCTTCATAAGAGTTGAGAAGCAGTAAGAAGTGATAACGATTACTGAGGATGAGCAGTTGCCAGCTGAAAGTGAAACGGGTTTCCTTCTCAGCTTCTCACTTTGTTTGCTGCTCGTGTGTTAGCTACTAAGTTAATTCCATGTACAGACAATTCTAGTATTTTCTGTGGTTCATGTTAAATGCTTAAAGGGAAACGTTTTGATGGTTAAAGTGTAAATGTCATAGTAATATTCACCATGTTAAAATAAAAACATGAATATCCTCTAGTGTGGAGTTTTTAATCACTTACTGTGTTTCTACAGAAAACTCTGAGAAAGTAAGTTTAAGGCTTACTGTTTAATGTGTGAGATAAACTCTGTGTTTTATTCCTTCCTCAAATATTAGCTGAGCTTAAACAGTTTAACTCTGTTTTCATATCTGTGACAATATTGTTTGTTAGAACAGATTTATTCAAATATCATTCAATTGGTTCAATTCATTCAAACATTAATGAGAAACAGGACTTTCTGACATTAATGGGTGTCAATCTGGTTAAACTTTAATCAAATGAATAAATCAACTTCAATCCAGAACTCTTGTGAGTCTGTTTAAGGAATAGATGAGAGATAGATTTGATTTCTGTTTTACAGAAAGAACAAAATGGAGAAATAAGTATTTTTAATGTATTTAATATTTTATTAAAGGGGTGGTATCTATGTAATATCTTCATGTGAACTTCTTTCATTTTATGTGGAATGAGGAATTTATCAGAGTCTGACCAAATGTGTTGTTCAGGGAAGTTTAGTTTCCACAAAAGAGTTTATTTGGGAGAATTACTGTGATCTGAGCTCAGTAAATTTCTCAATAAACAACAGTGACAGTTGTGTCGATCTCAGTTATTAAAGTTATAAATCATCAAGTCAGATGACAAATACAACAGAACCAAAAAACTAAATAACTGAATGAGAAACACTTCACGAATTTCCGTAATCTTCTCTGTATCGCTCCAATCTTAGTGTATGTGCTACCGGAGCAACACAGCAGCTCCCTGTCTCTGTGGGGGATTTATAGGGGGTCTGTCTGGAGAGAGTCCGGACTCATGGTGCCACTCAGACTCAATTTAGAGGTTCAAAGCGGCTCTAAACGGCTCTCAGACCGCTGATAACAACAGGAATAAGATGTCTGGCTGTTGTACTGAGTCCTGTACCTACTTTCTTCCTATTTTCTGCCTTTATTTTCTTCTCCAACTGTCAGCTGCAGTTCCGTAAACTCACCAGCAGGTGTCAGCCTATGAGCAGTGTATGGGAGGAGCCAGATTTTTCCACCAGATTATTTTGGCACCTTCTTCTAAATGTTTCAAAGTAGAAAGTTCATTCAAACGTTCAAAGTTCATTCAGCTTTTTTCATATTTTTTATACTGTGTACACAATTGCAGTTAAAAACTCATGAAACTTTCATCCCCTTGCTCTCTTGAACATAAAAACATAGGAACAATGTGTATCAGAGTTAAAAATGCACTTCATTAATTCTTATGTAACTCTTTAGAGATGGGGAACAGAAATGGATTAATGCACACTCTTTAAATGACACAAATCTTACCCGGGTAAGATAAAAAATGTAAAAAAAACTCACAGCTGTGATCTAAAGTTCAGAATCCCCCCCCCGTTTTCAGTCACTTCAAATCAGTTTCAGTTTTAGTTCTGTTCGGTCCACTGTGGAAGTGGAGAGAGTTTGTCCTACTGCACAGTTGGTGGTGTGTGTGTGTGTGTGTGTGTGTGTGTGTGTGTGTAATGAAGTGCCGAATTCAACGTCTCGATCCAGGCTCCAACATCCAGGTAGATCAAAGGTTCAAAGAGTTCCAACAAATAAAACCTGACCCACAGTGAGTAAGGTCAGAACAGTCTTTTAGCTTTCAATCATGAACTGTTGAATATAATTCATGTTAAATCCTCATCTCATTAAACTGAACCATCATTGTAATATGACATCACAATATCACTAACAAACATTCTCAAAATATTCTCAGAGATAATTATTGAAAAACCTCTTAAATATAATATCAAAATATCTCTTTCACATAGCAATTAGAATACAAACTAACATAGACCACGTTCACACGGCAAGTCTTAATGCTCAATTCGGATTTTTTGCTCAGATCCAATTTTTTGTTTGGCTGTTCACATTATCTTTTAAAATATGGCCTATATCAGATTCCAGTGTGAACTGTTTGCGGTTTCGAACTGACCCGCATGCGCAAAAGAACAATAACAATGACATCAGACGCAGCACGCTGTTGCACTAAAGTTAGGGAGGTTATGGAGGAAGTAAGCATTTTCACTTTTATTTTAAAATGTGTGTGTAACATTAATGAGCAGGTGCTGAGGAGGAGAAGAATGAAGAGAAAGAGAGCCAAATTGGCTATTTTGGCCTTTTGCTGGGTTATGGCTGCAAATTCACTACAGAGGTCAGTTTGTTGTCCGGAATAGACTCGGTCCGGACTCGTTCAGTGTCAGTAATCCACAACAGTCAGTTTAGATGCACAGAACTGGACCGAACAGCCGGCAAAATCCGCTGCAGGTATAACGTTAGATCAGCGTGTCTGCAGTGATTGGCTCTGGTTGACAATGCTAGCGGATCTCTCTCTCTCTCTCTCTCTCTCTCTCTCTCTCTCTCTCTCTCCTTCTCTTGGCAGATGTAGCTGTAAGAAAGAGGAGAAAGTGTTTGGCCATTGTATCACAATTACAAAAATAAACAGTTAGGCTTGGAGGGTAGACATGAGTATAAGGAAAAACTTAGCATTAATACAGTACAGTAACAACAGAATACAAAATAGTAATGGATGTGTTAGCTAAGCAAATACTTTACTAGTGATTTAGCAACAGCCTGATAAAAACATGATGATTCTTACTTCCAGAGGACTTGGTGGCTGTTGTGCTTCTTCCAGTGGTCTCTGTAATGCCTGCAGCTGATGAGCTTTCTCCAGATGTAGATGGTGCAGAAGACACAGAAGATGCAGATGGGAGTGACTCGGTGCTTGTATCATCTGGTGCAAGCAAACATATCATGTAATGCTATAATGTGATGTATTTGATGTATTCAATGCAAATATTATGAGCTGGTTCACGTTACCACTTTACATAACACCCTCAACACACACACGTTACCCTGAGAAGATGAGGGTCACCTGGTAGCCCCCCTCTTAACTTATATGTTAGGTTATAATATGGGATTTGGTTCTTCAGATCCAGGTCACCAGTGCACTGGATCAGATCATAGATAGACTGTACATTTTTGAATGACAGACACGTACAGGGTAGTCTCTGCTTCTCTGATGGGTTTCCGAGTTGTGCAAAGAAAACTGGGAGCAGCTGACTGGCTCGTTTATTCTGTTAACAGAATTTTCCTCTAATAAACACGCCAACTTTCTAGTCTCCAAATGTAAAACTTCTCTGCAATATTTCTAACTTTTATTTTATATTAAAGTGCGTTTCCACTCAAGACTTTCTATATGCGTCGGCTGTGAATGTCAAGACTGAAAACTTACCTGTCTCGCCATCAATATCCAGGCTGTCCGCCGACCTCCTCGGAGTTTCAGGCTCCTCTTCGCCTGCTTCGTAGCTATCCAGCAGCTCCAACGGCTGACAGCTGGGTTTATTGCCCATAACACGGCTAAGCTCGTTATAAAATGGGCAGGTGATGCGACCGCGACCGCTTCGGTTATTGGACTCATTTGTTTCTTTAAATTTAGCTTTAAGGCTCTTCACCTTCCTTTGGCACTGCAGCCACGTTCTCCTGTGTCCCTGTTCTTACATTTCCTTTGCTATTTCTTCAAAAACGGAGCGGTTACGGTACGATCCTTCTAGTTTTGCTTGAATTGAAGTATCTCCCCAAATACTAATTAGGTCTAACACCTCACTCTCCCTCCATTGACTTGCTCCATCACTGTTCTCCATTTTGTAGGCCTAGTCAAGTTTTTAATTTTACCGTCTGTGTCGAGGGCGAACTCGCCGGCGCATCACTGTGACAAATGTCGATGTAGATTGACGTAAAAGTCGCATCAAATCCAGCTTGGTTGTTCACACTGCGGCCGCATTGAAAACAATCAGACCTGGATCAGATTCAGGACCACATATGGAAGTGGTCTAAATCTGATTTGAGTGTTCACACTACTTCTGAAGAAGTCTGACCTGGTCTGAAGTCTTGACCCCAAAAAGATCCGATCTGGGCCACTTTTGCCTGCAGTCTGAACGTGGTCCTAGATACCAGTAAGCAGACACATGTTGGACCCTCGGTCATGTGATGGGACGTTTACATCTCAAATAAAATGTAACATCCAAAGATAATTAAAATATGGCTTAATGTGCTTAAAATGCACAGATAAAAGTGCTAAATCAACACATTACACAGTTCAGTGTGTAACAATTATACAAACCAACATATTACACAGCATTGGATTCAGTTTGCAGCATTAAAATATCAAGCTAATGGTTGTAGCATTAGTGAATGGCGTCTGCCATTGTGCTAGTTAGCATCTTCAGCTAGCGCTTAGCATGGTAAAGACGATCGCTCACCGATGCGTTTCCTTCGTGAGGGAGACGTCAGGTCTCTCCGACTGCACTCTCACAGGTCCAGGGCTCCACACTGGATTATTTCAATCAGTTTTTAATCAGTTTTCAACAACTTTTATCGCTTTATCTTCACGAGGTAGGAATCGTTGTCGACGCGGGGTTTCCTCTCTGTTCTTCCAGGAGCTCAAGGTGACGTGAACTCTGCTCCGTGCAGGTCAACAGTCCGAGCTTCTTCCTGATTGGCTGACAGCGCGTCTCCAACCCATCTCCTTCAAAATAAACTTCCTATTTATTTTCTCTTTATCTCAGTTGAATTGCTTTTTAGACAAATATCAGTTTTTAATCTTTAACATTAATAACGTACTTCATGAATTTACTTTTTAATATAGATTTTTAACCTTGGTTACACTTACTTTTAATATGTATTTGTGAATTATATTCATTTTCATTGAGTCTGAATTTTATCTCATTGAGTTATTTTTCATTTACTGTTATTTTGGTTTATTTCCAGTGGAAATTGAGTTTTCTGAACTTTGTCCTTCCGTAGCTCCCGAACTTCCGTAGCTCCTTCGTTTGTGTTGTTTCTGTTTAGTCACCCACCCCACACACACTTTTTACTCTGTTTAACCTATTCTATATAGTTTATATAGATTTGTTATTAAAATTAAATATTTTCTGGTAAACTGTAACAGCTCTTTTTGTAATTGTTTTGTTTTTGTAATATGCACATTGAGTTACATATACTCTGTAATGTTTAAACTAATTTATCTATATGTATTTTCAGAAAGATAATGAAATCACACAGTGTTGTTTTGCATTGCTGAGGAAGCAGAGGTGCAGGAAAAAAAGAGCAGAAGGAAATGAATGTGCTATATTGTCTTCTGCAGGAGCAAATAAATGCTGGTTAACAGTTCTGTGAGTCGTCCTCTGTTTATGCCCAATCCACACACCTGTTACACATATAAAATAAAAAGTTTCTGAATGACATCACATTGTAGGAGCGAATTATAAACTCACATATACAGTATGTATGTATAGAAGTTATTGTTTACTTTTACATAGTAATTATCCAAATATTTGAGAGGTCTTATGGCTTTCTTGTTTGTTAATCAAAGTCAAAGAGAAATTATAATTCAACAAAATACAGATGAACATTATGGATATGATATTTGCCAACAAGACACATAAGTTTCATAGCAGCGTTAATGGGTTGTGAGTCAATATTACAATTTAGAAAGAAGACCGTGTCACCTCTGTGCAGTTCCATAAAGTCACCAGCAGGTGTCAGCCTATGAGCAGTGTATGGGAGGAGCCAGATTATTTTGACTCCTTCTTCTAAATGTTTCAAAGTAGAAAGTTCATTCAAACGTTCAAAGTTCATTCAGCTTTTTTCATATTTTTTATATTATTATATATATTTAGTTGTGCATTTAGTCAGTGTGTCCAACAATATGTGGTGAGTATGGTTTGGCATTTCAATATCCCTTAAAATATGTTATTAAATTGAACCCCTTCAATCATTAATGTAACATCATACTGATAAACAGAAATTTAGTTCCCATTAAAATTAATTCATCCAATACATATTTAACATATATCTGGATTGTAACCGTTCACAGTGGAACAAAAACAGACTTTATATATATAATATTATACCTTACCATTAATGATGCTAAACTACTCTGACATCATGTATGAGGTGGCTGTAGTTTTTAGAGCCACTGAGAATATGAAACAATGTCTTAGCAAATGTCTAAAAACTACAGGTGGAATTAACACGATGTAAACTGTATTTTGACTTTATCTATGTTATTTGAAGGATGCTGAAAACTGCCTGACTTGAATGCAGCTTTTTGTCACCACTGCTGTTGCCTCATCTTGTCCTCTTTACAGCTGCAGTTCATCTCGAATGAGCCTAATGTCTGGTTCACTCTGACCTGTAGAGTCCTGTTGATAGTCAGAAATAATTGCCAGCAGCAGATGATGCTCTGCTGATCTTTATTTAATGAGATGGTCAGTTAGCACCATCTAGTGGACAGATAGTAGAACTACATCATTTGATGTGTGATTTCTCTGACACTGACTGGGTTTCTGCCACAGGTTAAACTGGTTCTGACGTCACACGGATGGATTTTGAGACTTGAAGTCACTGTAGAAGAATATTCATAAATAAGAATTTGTGAAGATCCACTGTGTAACACTGCAAATGATTTATTGTCAGAAATGGAATATAGTATTCATAGGTATGTTTTTATTAGTGTATAAATACCTGAACATTGTGTTTTTGGTTCCTTAGGATTAGCAGTTCTTATCTTCAGAGGGAGCGGGACTCCTTCCATGTTTCTACGGTAGCCCAGAAAGGACAAATCTTGATTCCAATGGAGCCATTGGCATTTTGCAGCCACTGTTCTTTCTCCCTCGTGTTTGGAATTAGAGAGGGAAGCTAGTGAGGTGCAATCTGCAACAACACTGTTAGATGCCACTAAATTCTACACACTGAACCTTTCATAAATACGTAATAATGTAAAACATGTGATACAAATGTATGCTCCGCATCACATAGTTCTGAACTGAGCTGATCTTTAGCTCACTGTATGATTAATTAGCACCATCTAATGGACAGATAATGGAACTACATATCTGATCAGTGATTTCTCTGACACTGACTGTAGATAGAGGAAAGGTGCGACTCTATTTCAATGCCAACAGCGTATTCAGAGGATTAAAGCACTTTTGTTCTTGCAGCCTTCATCAACTATAATGACAAATGGATCTGAAACAATACAAACACATCCCCAACACTCAGACAGCTCAGGGAGAGGAAGAAGGAAATAAAAATGCTTTTGATAGGGTGCAGTCTGATTCTTGTTTAACTGGTTCTGACGTCACTCTGGTGTTTGTTAGACTTGGACCGTGAAGTTTTGAGGGTGTGACAGCGTCCTCAGATCAAATGCACACAGACACCAGGACTGACGAGTACGAACGGAGCAGCTTCTTCTCTCCCAGTGTTTCCTCCACACATGAAGGTAGAAAGTGTCTGTAAGTCGACCTGAAGTGAGTTCAGCAGGTGAGAATCCTACCAGAGAAATGTGTAAATGTTTGATCATCAGGATGACTTTGATCACATTGTGCTGTATCTCTGTTTATCTGGACAGTAGAAATGTTTCCATATGCTGATGATCTGTTTCAGAATATATCTTTGAAACTTGCTTTCTGTACTTGAATTTCTGTCTGAGTTAAAGGAAGATGCTTTTAGAAAGATTTACATGTACTGTTGTTAGTGTGTGTGAAATAGAATCAGACGCAGTTTGATTATAACCTGAGTTCACATCATCAGTGAACAATGTGTCTGAACTGGTCTGACAGCTCGAAGCACCTTGGCTGAGGTTGATTTTTAACTGTTAATACTCTGAAGGGAAGAGCATGGATGAAGAGTTGAGAGCTCACATACAGAAACCTTCCAACACTGACACTGAGCTGGTTTCACTGAAGACCCTTTAGCACAGTCCAGGTCTCAACTGTCCCAAGCTGCCATACGTTAAGGTCAAAGGTTCACCGGGCGCTGCGCCCATTGGCCAATTAAGATCACATGTTTGCACCTCATGTTTTTTAAGACTAAAATATATATTTTTTAATTATTATTTTAATTCACATTTTTAAACAACACGAAAAACACTATTCAAACATGACATTTAGTTATAAGTATAAAAAAATCAGAGACATTTCTTAGGGGTACTGGGCGGGTGCTATGGCTATTATAGGGGGAGCTACAGCACCACCTAGCTCCTCCCTGGCGCCGCCACTGAAACACACAGACCTTGATTTTCTCTTGTGACCCATAAATGTGTAAAGTATATTTTGTGGTCAACATACTTTATGTGTGAATCTGGGGGCTGTGTAAGAGGTTTTGGGGTTATCAGAGCTCCAAAAAGATTTCTGTCAGCTCTGAATATTTGTGTCATGTTACTGAGAGCAATGAGAACTAATGTGTCTCTGTGATGTAAAGCTTGCTGTGATGAATGAGCAGGTTGCTGTGTCTGTGTGAAGGTGTGGGCTCTGCTATGGAT